CATAGAGGAACATTCAGTATCTGCTGAAAAGATCTGGATAAAAATAGTTTCTTCCGTTTGTAATTCATCAGCAGATATTTCCTAAGATAGCTTGGATGCTTTAACATGTGTCTCTTTACGTTTAAGTGGACAATGCTGATGTACGGACTTGTTTGTTCAGTCCCAGTGGGCACAATTTGCACAAAAAGGTGAGTTTGGCACCAGAAATACCAGTAGATGAGTCTGAATGGAGCAGACTAGTATTAGCAGTAGAAAAGTTGGTCTGTTATGCTGTAATGAATGCCATAAAACCTGACGTTATCCCAGTGAATAATGTTATCAACTGAACACGAACGTGAGCTGATCTTTACCATCAGCCTTATTTGGGCATTTAGATATACATCTTGGTCGCCCTTGGATTTACTTTGATAAAAAGACCTAAATTAAATTTTTCCCTCCCTAAAATAGTAAGCGTACTAAACTATAATGTCTGTAAAGGTTAACAATGTATTACCTGAGAAAATTAATTGATTTAAATCCGTTCTGTTTTATCGGTGCCCGATCTGTGCCTGAAATGTGACCCTAGGCTTCTTCCAGGACCTAACTTTTTGTCTTTAATTTAAATAAAAATCTATTCTTTTTTAATTTTCTTTTTCTTTGAATGTTAAGCTTATGGTATATAGTGGTCATTTAAAGATAAGAACAACTAATATGCAGATTAACATGGTTTAATCTTATTTTGCCGAACTGCTCTGGATGTGTTTGATGATGACATCAGACAAACTGTTTCACAAAGAAAATGTAAAAAGCATCAAATTGTCCCAGAAAAAAGTCGTATATACATATATTTAGAGATGTTGTGTAGCATTCTTTATTGTTTCAAAGAATAAATAATTAATTTTAGTACCATATGTATATCTGGGTGAATATCTGCTTGCACCTGCTGAAATGAGCTGATGGTACAGATCGGGTAGTGACACGTGTTGCTCATTATTCTGAGTGAACGTCGCTCTCGTTCACATTCATTCCTTCAATGCTGGTCCGTTTGGTTCACTGTTCTCTAAAAATATGATCGTATTTAGTGAACACCATTAATTGAATGCGTTGAAGCGCAACACTACCTGTTGGTTATTAAATTACAGTAGTTGTCTAGCAGTAAACACAGGAAAACTCTCACCTGTTCACCAATCTCCTGGTGAACAGGTGAGAGTTTTCCTGTTGGATAAACGCTTCGGCTTTATTTCAGGATGGAAAATTAGAACTTAGGAGGTAAATCATTGAAAATCAACATTATGAATAATTAAAACTTGTTTGGGGTAACATATGGGGTTAGTATTTATGAACTTGGAACACCTTCAGTATATGACTCCATTCACACCTTTTAGCAACAAGAAACTGAAATGGTCTGATAACTTTTTCAGAGAGACTAGAATAAAGGCATCAACTCATTTGAGTTTAAGGGCAATGAGAGCACGCCACTAACTTATGGAGGTATGCAAGCCATATTCCTCGATGCAGCTGAAACAGTTTGAGTGTTTAACACCCCCCTCCAAATGCTCATTTCTCTCCTTCAACTATATAAATAAAGACCACTGGTGTCACAAACATAAAGACAAAAAAAGTCACTGTTTACCATTATGTATTTCATAACCCTAAATTTTGATTGTTGAACAATGAAGTGTTTCCTAAAGATGTTTTCCTGAATAAGTTGAGAACAATAAGTGGCTGAAACCCAAATTAGAGAGTGAATTGAAACACAAAAAGATGTGGTTAGGGAGGGATGCGAACCAAGTGAGATTGTTTAAAATGCATTTCCTCACAGTTTGACAGCTTGGTTTGCAGCACTGAAAACCAGCAGAGCTGAGCTGATACCCACATTTTCCGCAAACAACTTCCTCCTTCAGTTCTCATGAAAGCCTGAAAACTTTAACTGGAGGCAAGTTGCATTAAAGCATTTAATCTATATTAAGTGTATGTCATACTTCCAGTCCTGGGTGCAGGCTGAGGTTTTGCTTTTCCTTTTTTCTCTCTCTGCAGGGCTGGATGGGCAGGTGCTCCTCATCAGCTGATTTCCACCCTTTTTAAGGAGCTGGAACCAGGAGGAGGGCGTCAGTTCGTTAATGCTTCAGCGTTGGTACAACTGATCCTGAACCAAGCCTTGAACCTAAGCCTTGAACCTAAGCCTTG